TGCCGCCGTGCTGGTCGGCGGTTTGGCTGAGCGCGCTCGCCGCGGCTTGTTTTGGAGGCGGTGCTGCGTCGCCGAAGAACGGCCGCGTCGAACGGCATTGCCTGTGCACGATCGCGCCGCAGAGTCGGGAGTTTAAAGCGAACGACGACGTGTTGAAGCGGGAGAGGGTGGGGGTCACCGGAACGGCGCCGGCGAGGTCGTTGTGGGAGACGTTGAAGACTTGCAGGGAGGAGAGGTTGAACGGCGGGACCGGACCGTGGAACCGGTTGAAGTCGAGCCGGAGAAAGTACAGCCGCTCCAAACCGTTGAGAGACAGAGGAATCGAACCGGCCAGCATGTTGTAGGAAAGATCGAGGGTTTTGAGACGGTGGAGGGTGGAAACAGACGGCGGAACGGCGCCGGAGAAATAGTTACGGCAAAGAAAAAGAACTTTGAGGTTGACCAAACCGGAAAGATCGGGAACCGGACCGGTGAGGGAGTTGTTCCGGAGGCTGAGAACCCGGAGCTGCCGGAGCTGGGTAAGAGTGTCGGGGGCGAAAACCCCCCCAAGATTCATGTTTTCCAGAACCACTTTGACAGCCCTGTTGGAATCGGAGCACTGAACACCACCCCATTTGCAGAAACCCGAACCCGTTTTAGCAGAAAAATCCAAGACGTTCCTCAAATCCGCTTTCGACTTGAAATCCAGCAATGCGGAAGAATCAGACGGGAGTAACAGGGTTTTGGCGGGAGAAGGTGAAGAAGAACCTAGGATGAAGTTGTAATGGAAGTACAACAGGGGTATAAAAAGAAGAACACTCTGCAGGAAATGGTAATGCGGCTTCGCCATGTTTAATTCTTGAACCGGACGGAAAAATGAGGGTAAAATGTAATTAATTATTAGGGTTTGTTTATCTTGTTTGTTGGGTTTGGTGTACTGAAAAATTGTGGGCACTGCATTTTTCGGTAGCGACATGTGAGTGAAGGTGAAGGGGGTGGGGGTGGGGGGGCGTTGGGATACGGTGAGTGACAGGAGTATGTAATA